AATAAAAAATATTTTGAAGAATGTAATTTTCCCCTTGTAGTAGAATCTTGACTTTAGAGTTATCCTCAATATTAACAATTTTCATAATTAAAATTTATATTTTTTACATCCATTTCTCCTAGAAATTTTCTAGGCACTTAATTAAAGTCTGACAAATAATTGGTTTGAAAATTTCACTTATCTCATTGGCTTTTGGCTAAAATTTCATCAAAAGCACAACATACTGAAAACTAAACTCCCTGTTGAATTCTGCCATAAGAGTTGATCTTCCAATTTATAGCAAAATCTTTTAAGTAGAATAAAAGCAATACATTAATTTAATAAATTCAAATGATTTCTGCACCAAAGCAAATTGAAATGCCATTCTTCTACTTTACTAAACATTCAGAATCAAATCCATTTCATGTAATATATACATACTTCATTCAAAAGCTATTTAATTTTAAAGTACTTACCCCAAATTGGCTTCTGGTTACTTACTGGAATGTTAAAGCTGAATGTGCTTACTGGGAAACACTTGTTCATGGAACACCTGATCAGTCAAGGCCAAATCTATTTGTCTTGAATATTGCTTTATTAATTCCTCTGGAACCAGAGCAGGTGCTCACTACATTTGTATGAAAGAACTAACAGGCCAAAGTAATGACCAGTTATAAACTTTGCAAGAATTGACAAAGAAAACAATTTTTAAAAAATATTAAATTTATATTATTATTGCACCCATTATTTGCTTGTTTTAAAAGTAAAAACAGAATTATGAAGTATGTGCCAGTGGTTGTAAATTTGCTGGTAATTAGTTCTTTTTGTTTCTCACAGGGCTCCCACATCAGATTACCAATGTGTCCCATCATAAATATTTCAGAATGCCTGTGAGAAACAGAATAAAGCTAAATCAAGTCCACAATGCAGAGACAAATTACTGCTGCATTTATAGAGTTCTCAACAATTCATCAAATTATGAAACAGTCATAGGAGACTCCTGTGGATATGAGACCCATTTAAATTTTTAGGAAAAGCAATGGATGTTGAAAAAGTGTATTCTTTATAAATAGCAAAAAAAAAAAAAAAAAAACCCAATTAGGATTACTGATTTACCAAGTTTTCCCTATTTACCTATGGTTAGTAGATAATAGTCTATTAACCATAGGTAACTTGATAATGAACACTGATATTACTTTTGTATGCTTCTAAAATTCTACATGATTTTCTCTACAAACAGGCCATTAATTTAAAAAGTACACATAATTGAATGGGTTTTTAATCTCATTTTTGTGGTTCAAATCAATCACCTCACTAGCAATTAGATATTGAACACATTACATTATTCATCAGTGGCCTCTGAGAAAAGAAATGAAAAATCTGGTCCACTGTCAATTCAACAAATATGTCAATACTGATGACCAAGAAATATTATTTTGGAAAAAACATGTATGAGAAAGAAATAAAATGAGCATATATAGACATATGTATATACATATGTATAGTATATGTATTCAATTTTATAAGGACTTCATCTTTAAATTTCTTCTTCAAGGACCTTGTTGATACTTTTCAGTTTCTAATAGAGCTATGACTTAATTCTAGACTGAGAAGCCTGTTATAAACCATAATTTCCTAATTAATATTCTTAATAACTATATAAGCATATGCAAATGTTGTCTAAATCTTATGTTTCATTCTGATATGACTTTCACTAAACTACACATATTTTTTTTCTAGCTTCAACTTAACATCATTGGAGATAATTGTCCAAAAACAGGGAGGTGCAACACAAGAACACAATCCTTATTTATTCCACACTGTGATACATAAATAATATGTCTGAATGTCTGAGACTATCAGTCAATCAATGCTTTTCTACCCATGTAGTGACATCAGAAAACATTCATCACCAGCAACCTTGGCTACCAAATTATGATGTCTGTACATTACTCATATCATAATGTGATTTATTCAGGAACAGGCCATTACTTTGCCTTCCAATGGCATAGACAGCCACTCTGTCTTATTAAGATCATTTAATGAAGCTGTTCTGTGAGGACCTATATTAGTGCAGTTCAAGCAAAATGTGCATTTTCCTGGCTTTTGGGGAGCAAAAAGCAATAACCATGAATTTCTCCTCCCTGGCTTAAGCTCTTTTAATAGACAATAAAGATACCAAAATTGTCCATAAAATATTACTGCAAAGCTTTTAAATGTTTTCACAAATCTGTTCCTTGCACCACTCTTGCTACTAAAAAAATCAGAAAAAAAATTATTCATAATGAGGGCCAAAGTGTCTTGGTATAAATTTCAACACCATTGCCTCTACCACTGAAAAGAAATGAACTTAGGAACATACATAAAATCATTTCAAGAGATCACAGTTACAATCCCATAGCCTTTCTTAGAATTTGATAGTATTTTTTTAGTAAAAATGTCCTTAATTCCAAACTTTAAAAACCTAAAAGCAGGTGTTGTCATCAATAAAAAAGCTTCAAAAAGCTTTTTTTTCCCAACTAAGCATGGATTAATCTCAATTTTTCTCTGTCATTTTGCTACATATATTTTGATAAGAGGAAAATGTTCTAAAAAGAGAAAAGGTTAAATTATATTTAGTGTAAATCTGCATGCTACAAACAAGAATTGAAGATTATGACACATCCTGTTTTAGTGTGACAAGTTCCTTTCACTGTAGAAAAATGGATCTCAAATAATTGAATCTAAATGTTAATTTCAGAAGCAGTTTATAATGTCTCCAGTTCTATCCGCAGTTGACAAGCAAGACCCTGATAGTTGCCTAGCACAATTAGATGCTATTAAGTATGAAAGAAGAGCAAGACAATAACTAAATGTCTGTCTCCTTTTTGTGGATGCTTTTGTTCCAAATTATTTGAAATATTAAGATTAAAAAAACTTTTATAATGTTAAAGGCTCTATTCTCATTAAAGGTACTTGTGAGACAGCTCCTTTTAATTCATTTCACAGAAGAGGTCCTGAAGTTAATTAAGGATGGAATTAAAGTTACATACAGGATAGAGATTTGCACACATGGTAGGCTATAGAGAGAAGTTCTGTCTACACGAACCAGACTAATTCAGACTAATCACTTCAAACAAAGTCATCATGAGGGACAAAAAGTAAAGCATGTCTAGCAAAAGACTTTCCAAATTATACCAGAAAAAACTAGTGGTATCTTTCAATTTTTACTTAATAAACCAACACGTTTAATGTGACTCCACTCTAGAAAGCTGAAGACAGAGTAAGTATATCTTATTTAAATATGAATACCCAGTGTCTAAAACAGTTCCCTGAATGTGCTTTCCATAACTAAATGATGGATGGATGGATGGAAAAAAAATCCTTCACAAAACAATGGATACTCTTGTTACATCTCTTTAACATCTTAATATTCCTTTAAATTTCTACGAATGTGACTCATATTTCACTTCACTGCACTATCACCAGCCTATGATTCATAAGTCATATGCTCTGAGTTTGAAATGATAGATTATACAATCAAACTTCCCATTCAGTGTAAGAATTCTCTGAAATAGCCCTGTGAGAGAGTTATTTTTGCTCAAACATCACAAGGAATCCTTTGTCCCAAGACTAGTTTTTGCAATTTTAAAAAATAATTTACTTAGAGATATTTTCAAATTTACATGAAAGTTGCAGGTCTAGTGCAAAGACCTACTTACCTTCATGTTTCCCCCTCTTTTGTTTTCCCCAATTACTATCACTTACCATATTTTTGTAATTATATATATGATTATATATATCCTTGATGATAGATAAATGTTTGTATATATTTTATACATGTAATAATATTTTCTGAATCATTTAAGAGCAAGTTGAAAACATAGTTGACCATCACATCTGACCATTCCTGTGTGTATTTTCCTGAAACAAGAACATCCTCCTACACAGTCACCTCACAGCATCTATGCCACACAAACATATGTCTCTCCTACATCTTTTCCATATGTGCTTATTATTCCATGAGGAGAAAAAGCAATGTACATACATGTCAAAATGCTTGACTCAGAATGCACTTAAATGTACATGGAGGTGACGACTGCCTTCTGAAAACCTTTCTATTACCACCTTCTCCCAAGCTAAGCATCCCAGCATCGCTCTACTGATGCTGGAAGTTCTATCATTAGAGTTGATTTACTTGAATTTACCCTATTAAGTAAGTGAACAGAAGGACGAAGGGTAAATACTGTGGTCTTAGGAGTTAAAGAGACCTAGTTTCCAATGCCAATCTGCCATAGATAATCAGGCAATCCCCTAAACAGACAAAAATGCCAAATTTTAACATTAAAATAGGCCTATCTTATATGATTATTGTGAACTCCAGACATGTGGAACTTACACAGCTGCCATACCAAGCAAGCCCCTATGTTGCTAATTATTACCAGTATGGGTTGTCACACGATTTTTCTTAAAATGCAAACATATTTTGAAACAACTCTTTAAAATATAAATACATACTAAGCAACTAACGATGTGTAAATGAATTTGCTAATTCTTTCTACAGGACACAATAAAAAAGCAACATAAGAATACTGGTAGCCTGGAGGATGATGTAATGTACAAAAGAAAAATAGGTCCACAAAGAGAAGCAGTAAATTTCAGGAACAATTGTTCCCTATCTGACTGTGCATGTAGAGCAAATCTTTTATTTTTTCAAGGCTATTACCTCTTTGGTTGTGTTGGGCCATGCCACTCCATTTAAAGTACAGTATAACAAAATATAGAAGTAGGTAACATGCAATAAATTTCCCAAATTTATATATTTATCATATATAAAAGCATATGAGCCAATATAAATTAATAGGAAATGCTGCTGATTGCCAGGATTTGACTAATACATATTATATACATATATCTAAATATCAGACTATATGCCATAAATTTGTATAATTATTGAATTTGTTTGTATTACAGAAGATCAAACCCAAGGGTACTCTGGCATTCTATCACTGAACTAATCCTTAGCCCATTTTTTTTTTAAATTTTGAGATAGGGTCTCCCCAAATTGGAAAGGCTGGTCTTGAACTTGTAATCCTCCCACTTCAGCCTCCCAAGTCACTGATATTACAGAACTGTATCATCACACCCAACTATACATGTTAATCAAAACAATTTTAAGTGTGTAAAGAGATGTTAATGTTAACAATTCCATTTGATCATTAAATGCTGTATATACATATCAAATTATGACACTGTATGCCATAAATTTGTATGGCTAAAATAAAATATATTTTTAAAGAATTAAGAGGAGAGACTGTTATTGATAAGATCTAATTGCCATTTTCAGAAAAATAATCCAGAAAGTGTAAAAACTGGGAACAGTTTTCTTATTCAAATTTGTAGATGTGTGTCAATAGCTTCCATATGTTTTAATGGAGGTTTTATAATAAAAAAATGACCAAACACATTTATGTATACAGGCAATTAGGAATACAACTGATTAAAATACTTTGTTCTGGAATTGTACATTTTTTATATAAAAACGCTTGAGAACAGATAGTACCAATGAACATTTCGCCTTCTCTAGTCCAAACTTTCTCATATTAAGAATACATTCAAAGTGAAAGATGACAGATAAAAGCAGCAATAAAACATCATCAGAAAATGAAGCCTTCAGAAGTTCAAATATAAAGTAAAAGACAGGCAGAATTCTTGATGTGTTTTCTGCATTTTATGAGTGTACTTTCTATGACAATGAAATATTTATTTTTCTTTCAATTATAATTGCTTCTTATTTCTCTTTATCTTCACTTCACAACTTGTTTCCTGATGTAATTGCTTGGCTTTTCTTTCATGATCCAGAATTTCTTTGGGGAACAGGTTTTTTTCAACAAATACAGCTTTCAAAGCTACAAAATGATAAAGAAAATGACATGTAAATTACATTTGGTAAGAGACCCAATTCAATGAAGTGGTGGGGAGAAAATGCTCAAGTTTTCTTTTTCAAAACAATCGAGTGTTTCTAAAACCAACAGTATATTTGGGGAAATGTTCTCTGAGTTTCTGCTATTTGTTTCATTGCAATTTAAATTTAAAAGTTAATTTTTAACAAAGTTTGTTCTACTAATGCATTTCTATCATGATGGAGATCTGCCTGTTAAGAGTAGAGACAAAAAGGAGTGTGTGCTTTTCAGTTTTGTTTTTTAATCTACTTAACAGTTATCAAGGACTTGTAAAAAGCCAAGAACAAATTATTCTGTATTGAAATAAGACAATTAAAATAATCAAAACACAGTTTGACTATCTGCATGACTAAACCCATGCATCTGCAATCACATCCTTATAAAATACTTTGATCTGCAGGGTTCTGTGGCTTCAGAAAAAAAGAGCCAAATTACCCCTATGAATGGGTATATTGTTCATCAGCAAGAAGTGGGAGGAAATTGTGCCACCCATTCAAGAAATAATTTTGGCCTTTTGCGTAATTTTATCATTTCAGTGAATGCTTATTGAATGTATATTGTGCATAATGTTCTGTGCTCAGGCATAAGTGTGGCACAAATGTGACTAAGTTACGGGCATTTTTCTAACTGGTAGAATGTAGAAGCAATACCCGTGTAACCAAAATACCATATACAATAGATATAGTTTCAAGAGAATATAGGAACATAAATTATGCATGATCCTGTAAAGAGATTATATAGAGATCAGGTAAAAAGTTTTAAGAATTAGTTACTATTATGTAGGTCTTAAAATCCAGATAGGATTTAAATAATAATAATAACAATAATAATAATAATAACAAAAACACTTGGAGGTGAAGAAGGAGTGGCATGGGGAACAGAAATGTGCACTATTGAACAAAGTAAATAAACGTTCAGGGCAACAGTAGCTGCTATTGAGGTAACTAGATCATTCTGTACAATTTAATAGAGGCATAAATATAAGAGGTCAAGTGGAATGAATTTGGAACTCTACCGGGGAGCACTTTAAATGTAAAACCAAAGAGAAAGAAAAAAAAAAAAAAGCAAATGCAGAAGAACTTTATAATACAGTGGCATCTTTATTTATTAATATTTAAAACAATACTTCTCTGTATTAGCTTTATATCACTGTTCCCAAAATCCCTGAGAAGAGCAACTTAGAGAAGGAAAAGTTTATTTTGGCTTAGGGTTTCAGAGGTTTCAATCCATTGCTCTGGGCCTGACTTGATACAGAACTCCATAGTGGAAAGGCATGGCAGAGGACAGCTGCTCAGCTCATTGCAGCCAGGAAGCAGAGAGAGAGAGAGAGAGAGAGAGAGAGAGAGAGAGAGAAGGGGCCAAGGACAGAAATAGTCTAAGGCCATGTCTCCAGTGACCTCCTTTCTCCAGGCATGTCCCACCTTCCTACTGTTACTATCCAGTAATCCATTCAGATTATTAATCCAGCAAATGAATTAACCACTGATGAGATCACAGCTCTCATCACCCATCTTTTACTAAAAGCCCTACCTCTGAATCTTGCTGCACTAGGGACCATGTTTCAAAGCATGAATTTTTGTGGGGGCAAGATTTCAGATTCAAACCAACACTCTTACTTCAAGTACAAACATGGCTGCATGTCTATATCTTTCTCTTGTTTCCTGGAAATTATAGAAGAACAATCAGGAAAATGAGGGAAAATAACTCTTCCAACAAATTCAACTTTCAGCAAATTCCACTGCCTACAACATAAGAAGAAGAGCAAACAGCTGAGACTGGGCAAAAATTGCACAAGAAAAAAATATATAGCATAATAAGACCACAAGCAGCATCTCATAAAGTGTTGGCCAAAAGATGCTCTCTGAAGGTGAGTATCACTCTGAAGTACAGTGCTTTAACCTTCATTTTTACTTGTGAATGCTGAAAAGAAGTGAAGAAGGCTAGAGGCAGAAGTCTCCCTGGCCTGGTTTGGTTCAAAGAAGCAGAGGAGGTACAGCTACCTGAAGTATTTATTATACACATGAGTCATTGCTCACTAAAACCAGTCTCCATGGGTCGTAAAAACCTGAGGGCGCCTTAATCCCATATCCCAACTCCTCACCCAGGCATCTACGGCGTGTTTCAAGTCTAAGAAAGTCCAACTCATTAAACTAATTAAAAAGGAACATTTAAAGACTAGCATAGTATGAACATGAAAGTATTGATAGCAAAAACCAGAAACAAATCAAATTGAAGAAAAAAACAACAGAACTAAATACAAAGACCACCACCACAAAAATGTGGCCATTGCACTGATAAATATTATTACCAAGCATTTAAAAAATTAAATATAAAAACTTATGGAAGAAATTGCATTTCTGAAGGACCACCATAGTGTAGAATTCAGGGAAGAGATAAAGACACGAGAGAAAGTAATGAAATGTGTGCGGGCAGAAAACAGGGAAAAATTTTTTTAAAAAACACAATAGAGAACCGAGTGGGAGCACAATAGAGTATATAGAGTATAAAACAAGAAAAACAAATACAGCAAGTGAAATTTTAAGAAAAGAATGAGAGAGCAAAAGAATATTAAAGACAGTCAAAAATAGATCTAATGGGGTATGCGGACAGGAAGGATAGAAGAATAAATCTGACATTATTAGCCGATGTACATATATGACTACACGACCAGTGTGATTCTACATCATGTACAACCACAAGAATGAGAAATTATACCCCATTTATGTACGATGTATCAAAGTTCATTCTACTGTCATATGTAACTAATTAGAACAAAATTTTAAACGTCTTGAAAAAAGAGATCTATTAATAAACACATAATTGAAGTCAATTCTTAAGGAAGAAAACCAAAGTATAACAAACATTTAAAGGTCATCACTTAATACAACTTTTAACAAATAAGAGACAAACTGATTGTATACCAAAGGTCAGAATTCTAAGACATAGAAGATATAGGTTAGCAAGATTATTTAAAGATAAAGAATTGGGGTTAGGGATGTGGCTCAAGCGGTAGCACACTCGCCTGGCATGCATGGGGCGCTGGGTTCGATCCTCAGCACCACATAAAAATAATATAAAGATGGGCTGGGGATGTGGCTCAAGCGGTAGTGTGCTTGCCTAGCATGCGTGCAGCCTGGGTTCGATCCCCGGCACCACATACAAACAAAGATGTTGTGCCTGTCGATAACTAAAAAATAAATATTAAAAAAATTCTCTCTCTCTCTCTCTCTCTCTCTCTCTCTCTCTCTCTCACACACACACACACTCTCTCTCTCTCTTTTAAAAAAATAATATAAAGATGTTGTGTCCACTGAAAACTAAAAAATAAATATTAAAAATTTCTCTCTCTCTCTCTCTCTCTCTCTTTAAAAAAAAAATCACTTGGCAGCCAGAAAAAATGATCAAGTGACTTAAAGGATAAAAGGTATCTATCTTTCATTAGACATCTTCGCAGGAATAATCAACGCCAGAAGATAGTGGAGCAGTACCTATGGAATAATTAGGGAAAGAATTTCCTAATTATAAATATATATATACATATATATATATATATATATATATATATATAAATATATATCTCCAAACAGCTCTTCAAATCTAAATATCATAAATGACTTCAATATTCAAGGAATTCAGGGACTGTCATTGTCAAGAGTGATTTTGGGGAAAATTACTAAAGATAAACTAAGAAATGACTGAGGAAAATCTGAAAGAAAAATTAATAGGTGGCAATTATCAAAATATTTATAAAAATAAAAGTAAGATGTAGCTGGGTGCAGTGGTGCATGCCTATAATCCCAGTGACTCAGGAGGCTGAGGCAAGAAGATTACCAGTTTGAGTCTAGTCAACAACTTAGCAAGATAAGACCATGTCTCAAAATAAAAAATTAAAAGGGCTAAGGATGTGAATCAGTGATTAAGTACCCCTGGATTCAATCCTCAGTACCCCAAAACAATAATAAACGTAAGTTCTAAATAATGTGTTGTTCAGGATGACAAAATAGAAAGTAAATGTTATATGCCCAACAATGTAGAAATGATACAGTTAAAAATCGTAAGAGTTACGGAGAAAACAGCCTAGATCATGATAAATTAAAGACAAAGACCATCATTTAAAACAGATAAGTAATAGCAATATAAACCAACTTAACAAAATAAGCATAAAGAAAGGTCATATAATTAAAAATCATATAATACAAATGATATGATATAATCATATCATATAAAATTTTATAGAAGATGGGGAGGAGAATAAAAAAAATGTTCGTTTTATCATTACTCAGCAAGTATCTAACAGTCACTATTCTAGAGAAACAAAGAACTAGAGAATTATATGAACCAAAGAATATTAAAGTAACCTCTAGAACAAACACACACTTTCCAAATAAAAACAAAGGGAAAATTACAGACCCAGAGAAAACTGTAAAAATATATAAACAATAAATAGCATAAAGGGCTGTATGGTTTAGATTAGGTATCTTTCGAAAGCTCATGTGTGAGACAATGCAAGAAAAGTTTAAAGATGAAGTGATTGAGTTATGAAAGGTTCAGCCTAATCATTAATGCATTAATCCCCTGACAGGGATTAACATGGGGGTACCTTTAGGTAGGTAGAGTGTGGCTGGAGCAGGTAGGTCCCTGGACACCTGCCTGTGGGGTTTATATTCTGTCCTTGCAGAGCAGAGCTCTCTGTCTGCTTCCTGAGTGCCATGTTCCCACAGCTTTCCTCTGCCACATTCTTCTGCCATGATGTTCTGTCTCACTTCACGCCCCAAGGAATAGAGCCAGCTGTCCAGCCATCTATGCATTAAGACCTCCAAAACTGAGAGCCCCAAATAAACTTTTCCTACTTAAAATCATTCTCGTCAGGTCTTTTGATCACAGTGAGCAAAAGCTGACTAAAACAAAGACTCTGAGAAATAAAATCAATATGTCCACCATGTCTG